AATAACCTCTAAACCGAATCGTAAGGTGTTAGGTGATGAATTTTGTCCCATTATTGGGCCTCTTACAAATTATATAAACCTCCAGGGTTTATAATAAATCAAACTAAAAACTTTGCTTCCTCAATTTACACTACAGATAAACTTAAATTACCAATATACCCCACTTTAGAGGCATACTAACAGCTTATAAATCCTTTTCAAATTGGGCCTCAAGAATTTTAACGTTCTTTTAATAAATATTCTCCGTACAAATTCTGATTTCTTAAAGGCCCTAAAGTCTGCAATTTGTCGTAAATAAAGTTAGAATGAGGCCCTATAAACTGTGATTTTCCTACATTAACGAGGCCCTCGAGTTTTCACTTGTTACAAACAGCAAAGAGGGTCTTTCTCTCTTTACATTACAATTCTGCCCTTAGGAAGGGCATGAGTGTTAAATTTTTGTTTAAATTTCATAGAAGATACCTCACAAACTAAATATACTATAGTAGGGCCTTTTTATTTTCAATTTTACGGGTAGTAAAGGCCTTAAATTTCCATTAAACTAAGAGAAACACAAACAAAAAGGCTTTATACATTAAAGTAAAACGGAGTAGAAACTAAAATTTTTGAACACGATACAGAAAGGGCCTAACAATTTTTAACTTTAAAAATAAGGAAAGGCCTCAAACGAACTATATCCTATGTTTTTAAATGAAAAAAGGCCCTAATTTTGCCTACAAATGCAATTATGTATTGGAAGAACATGAAAGATTTTAAAGGATCTTCCTATATTTTTTATTTTACATCCAGGAAGAAATTTTAAATTTAAGGAAAAATTTTAAATTTTCCTATAAATTAAGAATTTAAAGGAAAAATTTAGGCATTTTTCTTAGTTTTTCTCCTGAAAAAAAAAATAAACGAGCGGGCATTATATATTAAGGAAATACTAAGAAGTAACTCCAGAATCTATAACACGCTATTAGTAGGGCCTTTATTTTTAATTCTGTAGGCTAAGGAGGGCCTCAAGCGAAGTAAACCTTCTAAATTTATTTACATAAGGCTCTAAATTTTCTCTAAATCGAGCGAAAACAATGAAAACAAGGCGTTATACATTAAGGAAAAATTAAGAAGTAACTCCAGAATCTCTAAACACGCTGTAAGGTAGGGCCTTTTATTTTTAATTCTGTAGGTACAGGAGGGCCTCAAACGAAGTAAATCCTGTGTTTTTAAGTAAAAGAAATACTCTAAATTGAGTGAAAACAATTAAAAAAAGCTAATACATTAAGAAAAACTTAAAAAAACACTCCAAAATCACCGAACACGCTGTAAGGAGGGAGAGCCTTCGAATTTTTAATTCTCTAGTCTAAGTAGGGCCTCAAACGAACTAAAAAAAGGCATTTTTTAAGTAAAAAACACAATAAATTTTCCTGTAAATTAGGTAAAAAAATAAAATATCTTAAAATAAAACACTTAATAAATTACACTTTTACGACTTTCCTCTAAGAGAAGAAGAAAAAAGGTGACAAAAATACTTTTCCTTCTTCGATTCGAAAACAATTAAGGCCTTGTGTTTTCTTTTTTTAATAAGAAAATATAAATATTTCTACATTAAAATATTTAAATAATAAATAAATAATAATAATAATAATTTAAATGACTGGACGTTAGGAAAAGATGAAAGAGGAGGATGGAGAGGAGGATGGAGAGAGAGAGAGAATAGGGACGAAATTTACATAATTTAAACAACGTTAGAGCGTGGTTTGTAAAGTTTTATGGAATGATAAAGCAAAGAATGACGTGCCACATGACAAAGTGCCTAAGAGTAGAAGATAACCTTATTGAACTTGTCTCTTTAGTAGTTAATCCGTGAAATTTAAGAGGAGAAGGGATGAGAAATCTTATGAATAAGGAGAGTCATTTGATCGATGCACCCACTTGTTTACTATTAAGCGTGTGAAAGTGGAGTAGTAAGAGCAACCTAAATTGATAGAAATGCTTAAAATAACACTTAAATTAATCGTTTAATTAATTCACGTGGTTAAAGATATACCTAGTTTAAAGGGTGTATAAGGAAGAAATAAGGCTTATAAATTAATTTATATTGTTAAATATTGTTAATATAGGGAACTGTACACATTAAAAAGGAATGAAAGAATTAACACAGAACTTCACAAGGTATCTGGGAAAAATGAAACATGTTTTAATGTGCATCCTTTTTATACAATTGAAGAAAAACTGAGCAGCCAGACAAAATATGCCTACAAGAGTCTTGAAATAAAAAGAGATGCTCCACTTCTTCTCATTAGTTGCACTTATATATATATTTATATGTATGTATATATATATATAAAATACTTCATAATTATTTACATCTACGTATATTCGCAGGCACGTAGCCTGTCTGTACAGAACAAGTAATGTACACCACATGAATTTTTATAGGTACGTATAATTTGTTTTTTTTTTTTTTTAATAAGGCCTACGGGCCTCCTATCTCTCACCTATATAAAAAGACTAAAGAGTCGCACGCAACTTGCGACTTTTTCAGGAAAAAAGAAAATCCGAGCCTTATTTTGCGCCTACAGGCTCGAACTTTTATGATAAAAACACGTGCCAACACTTCGTCCATCGTTTCAGGCCCTTATCCCCCCTTTAATTTAGGGAAAAGTAAATAAAATTTAACGTTAGTTAGAACGTAGACCCGAGCCGATTGTTGGTACATAAATTTTCAAAACTCTCCCTTAGCCCACCTGCTGATTGCACGAGGCTCAAACTCAGCAGGTAGAACTATAAAGAGGTATCGTTAAACAGGATAGAAGATGGTTACCTGGTGAGCTCGGGTATCCTTAGAAAATAAATAAATATATCGAACCTGTAGGCCGCTCCTCTACGGTAACTTTTTAGTATTTTTCAATATATATTAATTATTATAAATATAGGGGTCGAATTTTAATAAATATAAGGAAAAAAAAAAAAACAATAAAGTATTTTCCAATAGGGAACACAAATTAATATATAAAAATTTAGAAACAAAAAAAATAAAATAAAATAAGGTCTTAAATGCATGATAGTCGCTACAGTATAGAAGTGCTTTTTAAGTGGTTATTGCTCATTTGGTAGGCCCTTTAGGTGTTTTTTTAGGGCCTCGTTACTTAGCAACACCGCTTAATAATTAGCGGTGTTTACTGATATGATTCGTACCCGATATAATTCATAAAATTACAAGAAAAACTATAAGCAAAGGAACTATATAAAAGTGAAAAGGAGTGAGAAACTTAATGTAATAATTAAGATACATTTTATCATCAGCCATGTAAATTTAAAAGAAAAAGTGCATTGTAGGGCCTAATTCCATAAATACTAGAGGTTCCCTGAGTAAAAAAGGAAATGAGAAAAGTTTAAAAAAAAAGAAAAAACAGTAGAAGAACCCATCAAAAAGAAAGCAATTTTCACAATCAATAAGGTAAAGTGTCTATTTTTGATGAATTTTTCAGTAAGACTTTTCTCTTTGCTACACTTCTTTCTAGTTGCTGATGTTCGTTGCTGCAGTGAGCGTTTCATTAGACTGAGTGGTTCTCCTTGTCCCACTAGTGTCCCGGATGTTGGAATAATTGATATATCTTCCCGCTTCGGTTAGGAGGCACACACCACCAAACCCCAGGTGGAAGGGCTCTCTTTCTCTTTTCATACTCCTACCTCCCTTCTAACGTATTGGAACAGGTTTGCAACGTACCCAAAACTAGAGGAGGCCTTACGTAATAAGGGTCTTATCTAAAAAAAAAAAGTCGAATATTGGAGTGTAGAAGGGAATAAAACACACCTACTCTCCTAGTGGATGCTTGGAGATAGTTTATGAAATTATCATAATTGTGAGGATGCTGATAAGTTCATCGAGAACTTCATAAAGGATTTGGAATTGGATGGATCAAGGGTATTTTTCTGATCAAGTGTTTTCCCCCTCTTCTTTTTTTTCCCCTTACGAGGTGAAACTAGAAGAAGAAGAAGGAGGAAAAGGAGACGGGGGAGGTTTGCAATCTTCTTGGTGTCCCTAGTTGGGTGGTGGTATAAACAACTCAATTTCGTGAGTTTCAGAACGTAGTGGAGTGACTCGTTGCCACCTATAAGCCTAATCGAAGTCCTAGGGCGATTACCACATCGCCACTGTCCTCCACAGGATTGAGTCGTCAAAATCCCAGGGCTTTTCGTACAGTTCTGTTTTTTTTTTCTCCCTCCTCTTCTTCCGGGATAAGTGTTTCTCCAGTCACTTCCGATGACGCATGCGTCTTTAATGCTTCTAAATCGAGCCGTTACCTCACCCATTTCCATCCCCCAATTCTCCTACATCCAAAATAACAAAGATCTTTCAAACATTTTCTTTAATTTCGTTAAAACTAAATTAATCCTTCTATATAACTAATTGGATGAGAAAAGATGAGGAAGAGCACCGATCGATGAGAGAAAAAGTTGGAAAAAAGTTAGTTAAAGTGTACCTCCTCCTTGATGAATACGTTGCTGAACTTGCTCCTTATCATCTTCATACCCCCGAACGAAGGATTTTATCCTCTATAGGAGAGGACAAAGGTAAGAAGGAAAAAAGAAAACTACTCCCGTATTTAACGCGTTACTACTAAGGCCTGGGATCCGAAAAAAAAAACTACATTTTTAAACGTAGGCCCCCGTTTAGGAGAAGGCCCACAACTGCACTTTTTCTTTAAATTATAACCGTGAACACTTACATAATTTTCGAGGAAGAAGGAACATTAAGTAAATGGCCCTCCAAAAAAAAATTATCACAGGAGATATTGCCCCCGATGACGTGATGCGGTGTATAAGGTAGAGGCAAAGGAACCATCTGCCCCGTGTTTAGCAGCACTTCTCCATTTATCACCGGCGACAACTGGACATTACAGTAATAACAGTATGCACACACACTAGTCGAAAAATCTCGAAAATCTTTGTGTTTTTTTTTTTTTTTTTTTTGGAGTTCGTTACGGGGCGTCGTCTCCTTTTGGGGGGATGCATTTTGTTAAAGCACCAAAAAGTAGAGGCGAAGTACTATAAACTAGCACACATCGACGACTTCTCTACACTTTCTTTCTCTGTATTGAAGGGGTTTTTATCCATTTTATAATTCTGTCAGCCCATAACCACTTTTGGAGTCCATAGATGGTGGAGGGGGTAGCTGAGGTTGCATCATGTGCATGGGTGGCGGAGGTGGCACAGTATCCGCATGTGTTACCATCCCTGCCGGATTAGAATTCTGAGACCTCTTGGACGTGGTACCATCGGGATTCTTCTTCTTAACGTTCTTAGTATTGGGTAATTTGTTGTCCTTCTTCCATTTCATCCTCCTGTTTTGGAACCAGATCTTAATCTGTCGTTCGCTCAGGCAAAGGGAGTGAGCAATTTCGATCCTTCTCCTACGCGTCAGGTAGCGATTGAAATGGAATTCTTTCTCCAGTTCGAGTATCTGATGCCTAGTATAAGCGGTCCTCTGTCTTTTTGGTTCCACACCCGAAAAGTTCCCATTAGCTATACAGGAAGAGAGAAGAAAAAAAAAAAATAGGAGGAGAAAGTTTTTAGACTAGGGGGGTGGGTTTACATGCGACACAGTTTAATCGTGATTTATGGCTAATGTATGCGGCGACTCCACGTGGTCGCGCCTTACCTGAATTGACGTGTACTTTCTTCATCCACGGGTAGATGAGGGGTTGACTTGTATTACATTCCGCTTCCTGTTGAGCTTGGTGGTGTAGTTGGGGCCCCCGTGCCAAGTTTTGGCTCCTGTTGCCGTCCTGGGGCGCCGCCAAACCGCACGGTTGCTGATGATATTGCTGATGGAATTGGGGACCGGCGTGGTGGTTGTATTGTGATGCCTCATGGCCGAAAGTCTGCTGCGTGGAGGTTGCATGAGGGACACAGCCGTAACTGTAAGGATGCGATTGAGGTGGCGGGGGCGCGTAGTAGTCGGCTGCGTGGTTGGGGATGTAGTTGCCCTGTGAATACTCCTCGCTGGGTGGAAATTTCGGGTCGGCATACGCAGGAGAGTTCATCAAAAACGAACTCATGATCATTAATTTTTGGGTGAATTGGATGGAAATAATTTTTCTTTCGGGTTGTCGTTTAACTCGCTCCGCGACTCCGCCCCCGGGCAAAAAATTAGCATAACACGTGACGGCTGCCGTCCAATCTGGTAAAGCGGCGCTGACCCACGTCACGGATGATCGATGAGCTCTCGCTCGCCTGGACAGGGTAGACGGCAAAATGGCTGCTGAAACAGCCCGACTGTTACGATCTGCGCCCTGTCCGTCCACGCGTCACGTGACTGTCCGCGCCAAAAAAAAAGTGCACCCCCGAGTGGATCACGTGATTGGAGATGAGGGTAAGGTCTCTTTGTTTTTTTTCCGGGTTTTAATTGTTTTTTTTTTTTGTGCCCCTTTTTTTTTTAAGGGTGGAAGAGTGAACGATGAGAGCGACAATTAGTAAGACCGGGTTGGACACGAAAGTTGCATTTGGGCCCAACAAAGTTTGGACCATTTGTCAATTTAAGTGAAGTAGTGCCTGGTAGACACATTCGGTTCGGTGTAAACTGTTCTCACGAGGTATTACGTCAATGGAGGCCCTCTTTTAAGCCCTTCTTTAGAGGGTCGCTTTCGGCAATAACTTTGCTCTTGTAGACCTTACTTGGGGCCTTTCAATCATCTCTCTACCTTGTTAATGATCCATTTATAAATTTAATAAATATGTGGGCCCTATTTGGTGCGTAGATTATTCTACGGGGACCCTTCTTTACGTTCCTAAACGGAGACGAACGGAATTTAGCTCTTTACAAATGGTTTAATCGTTTCTTGTTTGGTAATAGTCTTTATCTTTAATTCTGTATAATTTAGGGCCTTATTTACGCTAATTTAAAGGGCAATTTAACGATTTTAACTGGTGAAAATCTATTACCTCTAGCACAAATACAGCCTAAACTATCTTCTATAAAACTTTCCCAATAGATAGATTTGAGGCATAAATGACTAATAAAACTCAAACAAGAGGCCTTTATAAGGCCTAGAAGAATGAACCATGCGAATAATTCATTAAATTTAAAGCTTTGTAACGTTTAAATCTCTTTTAAATGAGACTTTCTAGGGCCTAACTTATGACATTTATTTAGAAAACTTCTCTTTAGATTAAATTAATACGTTTTAAAGGCCTTAAAAGTAAGGTTTTAAGTTAATAAAGTAGCTTATAAATAGTAAACAGCAATTAAGTAATTGATAAGAGGGTATTAAAGATAAATTTTATGTCCCTACGCTATAAATTATAAAGTAATTTAAGATAAAATGTCACGAAACGTTTAATTTTAAGGCAGAAATCACACTAAGAGGTTAAGAAAAATTCTCTCTATTGTTAAAATTAGTGAAGATCACACTGTTAAAATTAGTAAAAGGTACACCTTTAGTAATTTCAACGCGTACTTAAGGCCTCTTAACATCATTTACGAGGTGTTAAATGCTATTAAATATGATTAATAGGGATATAAAAGTGTAACGTTAAGAGAATTTAGTAAAGGGCCTCCACGGTATCCGATAAAATTTATGATATTTTTATATATATATATAAGGGAAGAGGCTAAAATGGAGAGTGCACTGACAGGATTTTGTGCTTTCTTCTACACTCCTATTGATTAGTTATCAACAAAGAGAAATCCATCTTCCAATAGCGACTTCTACTCCGCTTTTCATCGCTACTGCTTTTCCAAGTCTGCTGCTTTCCTTTACTTCATAAATCAGTTTTTTTTTTGATTTCCTTTACAATCCACTTTAATTGACTTTTCCTATAGTAAATAATGACATCTGTTGCTCTTAAACCAACTATTTTTCTATATTTTTCTTGCTTGCGAATCGTTTATATGGGTACAGTTTATCAAATTTCAATAAATTATATCCCAGGCCTTTCACAGTACGAGTTATGTTTAGCTGCAGGAGGCCCTTATAAGTCATCGACACGAGTTTTAGACTGATATTAGGGAAATTGTGGGCCTAAAAGGAGTGAGAAATCTAGTATATAGCGGTGAGGCCTTACGATTTAAATTGATTCAAAACATCGCTTTCTGTGATAAGAAGTAAATTAGATTTATTACGTTTAAATAACTCTAAAATGGGGCCTTCTTCTTGATTGATAAAGACAGAATTATAACTAAAATTAAGGTATTAAAAGTTGTATAAGGACTCATATGGGATATTTAAGGTCTCAGGATATAAAGAGGCCCCATACAGTATATATTAGATACCCTCACACAATGTTTTATATTAGCTTTTAATATGTACGGTATGTGAGGCCTCGTAAATGAGTTTTAAACTTTTGGAAGACCTTAGAAGGTCCTAATTAGTGTGGTTTTATGCCTTGTTTATGTATAGAATCTGTATAAAAGTTTAATGGTTTACTGTATTGGTATTGATTGTTCTTATCGTCTTTTCGATAAGACGAACTTTGACCTGTTTTTTAAGCAATAATTCCCTGTCTGGGAGGGGGGTTAGTTCTCACATTTAAGCAACCATTCAAGTGATATAAAGCTATAAAAATGTATGGAGGGAAAGGGGGAAGGAGGAAAAAGGATAAAGTATTAATGAGTTACCTCTTCAGGTGAATGGGTTAAGTTTGATCTCAACCAGTTCGACAGGGTCTAAAATAGAAAACACGAGGTTGAACGAGGCAACAAAGCGGATCTAAATGCTGTTCTAGTTATGGAAGGCGATAGGAACCGTCTAATAGAGGTTTGTGATCATACGTATGACCAATATGTATAGTTAAAATTTAGAAGAAACGAAGGAAAGAAAAAAAAATTCTCTTCCCCCCTTTTGGGGTGGAGAAATGGTACCCTAATGTTATCCTATCATCTGACAACGGTTCGTTTTAGCCCATTGTTGTCTCTACAATCCTGCCAATCACTCATATCCCGTCTCTGGTTGGGTCTTTTTTGGTTCCTCTTTTGCTCCTGCGACAGCTCTTGATGGAAAAGCGTTGTCAAAAATTCTGAAACTGCCTGCGGTAGACCTATTTGTAGCCAGGTGACATCTGACTGAACGAGAGGCCACATTTGCCTCTACGAAAAAATAAGGGGGGGAGAGAAGTACCGACCCGGGAGTGACGTCACACGTATATGGCTGTACAATGAGAAAAACTCCACCTTCTCCTCCTCCTCCTCCTCCTCCCTCCTCTTCTCTCCTTTTGCATGAATTCCTCTCCTTGTTTATCTCTACGTCTGCCTCTAGGGCCTTCTATCGATGTATGATTCCTTTAAGGCCCCAGATAAATTTACGATCTCTTATAATACAAATTTAGTAGGGCCCTTGATAGATATAACAGGAATGATAAACCCTCTCCAATGATCCTCTGTAGATAAATTTGACTTAAATTTATAAAATTAAAACAATTCTATAGCCTTTCTAAGGCCCTATGTAATTAAAATATTGAAATAGACTCGCTTTGAGGCCCTAGATACGTGTATTTTATACGTAAGATTTCTCTAAAATTATAGAATAATGTGATATTCATTACGTATCTCCTTAAGACCTTACATAAGGTTTAAGATATTTATGAGATATTTGATTAGTATAACATATATTTACGGTCTGGCTAAGGCCTTACGTGAGTATAATGTAAATCTAGAATATCTCTAAAATTTTAGATTATTTAACGAAAGTTTAACGCTTCTGTAAGGCCCTAGATAGGCGTAGATTTAAAATATCATTAAAATCTGTAAATTTAAGGCCCTAGAGAAGTTTGTTATAGGTTTTAAGATATTTATAAGGCCTTGTTTCTCTAATAATCTTCATGTTTCTAGCATAGAGCTATGAATATCTCTGAGGTCCGACATAACGTAAACCTCTAAAGCCCTAATTGCATTTAAAATCGATCTAGGGCCTCACAAAGCTCCTTTAAGCTGCAAATTCTTCATTTTAGAAACGAAATTTGACACTTTATAGCATGATTAATTGAATAAAAGTGATGTGCAGGTGTATCATAACACAGTTTAACCTTTTCTAGGCCTTATAAAACGTTAATGTTTGACATTCTTATTTAAATAAAACACACTCGACTTGAATTTCAGACAAATAAAACTTGATTTTTTTTATTGTAATAAATAGTTTTGGATACAAACAATTCATTTTAAGGCCCTTTCTCGTGTCAGGAAAGTCATCCGAAGTTATGTTAAACATCTCTTTTCGGGGCCTCCCTGGAGATTTTAATCAATTTAACATTAATTTACTGTTCCTTTTGGGGTCGAAGATAAGTTAATACAGCTTTATAAGGTGTTAAACAATTGTAGTTTAGCTTTCTGGACCTTATAAGGCCCTATAAACCATAGTTTTTTAAGGTTACCATATTAAAGAGCTGTCCGAAACTCTAGATCTTCCTAAGGCCCTATGTAAGAATAACATAGATTTAAGGCCCTGAATGAATTTAAGGCCCTTCTTTTAACGAATTTTCTTGCAAAAGATAAATCTAAAAAATCAATTTCTGCTAAAAAAATTTCTTTTTTAAACGCATTTTCCTTCAGAAAACATCTCACTTTTACCTTTAAAAAAGGAAAACCCCTCTTAAAAAACTTAATTTTTTAATTAAAAAAATTAATTAAAATTAAGCAACAGGAGCGCAATTAATCAATAATTAACATATAAAAGAGGATTCGATTAAATCATCATCCCTCTCCTCCGCATCACTTCTCCACATCAAAGAAACTAAGCGATGTATGTATGTAATATATGAGAAAAGAAATAAAAAGAACCTCATATTCTGGCATTTATAGACCTTTTATAAAAGAAAAAGAGACGATACATCTCTCAAGACAAAGAAAAAAAAAAACAGAAGAAGAAACAGGGGTGAAAAGAGAAAAAAAAGGGGGGACCAAAAAGAAGAAGAAGAGGAAGAAGAAGAAGAAGCGAAGTAGGAATGGAGTAGGAAAGCAAACAAAGCTTGTAAAAGTGAAAGGAATTCCATTTACCGAAAGAAGAAGATTCGATTTTCTATTACAAGCTCTTTAGGCCCTCTAGAGGTCCTATATATAAGTCTCTTGTCAAATGCAACTGTGACTAGGGTAAACCCAATATAATATAACGATATCAAGTCTAAATCGATACAAAAAACATTCTGATGTCATCGGAAATCATTCTCTTCTCCAAAAAATTATTCTTCTTTTTTTCTACGGTTCCTTTCTTCGCGCTTTTTGGAATCTACATAAAGTTGTGATAAAAACCCCCCCTCTCTCTCTTCGGAATC